CACATTGGCTGTCTCTCTCCCAGGCAGCGAATGACATCTCACATGCACATTGGCTGTCTCTCTCCCAGGCAGCGAATGACATCTCACATGCACATTGGCTGTCTCTCTCCCAGGCAGCGAATGACATCTCACATGCACATTGGCTGTCTCTCTCCCAGGCAGCGAATGACATCTCACATGCACATTGGCTGTCTCTCTCCCAGGCAGCGAATGACATCTCACATACACATTGGCTGTCTCTCTCCCAGGTAGCGAGTGACATAGGAAATACTTTGCGGCTACAGAGGGGTTAAAATAAGTTGGAGGTTTTGGGTTGCGGATCCAATAGAAGTGTTCTGATTACTTGTCCATACTTTAAAAAGTGAGTATCTAGCCCCAGTGTCTCCATACATATAAAGTGGACCTGTCCCCAACTGGGCATGTCGGCCTCTTGTGACAGTAGGAGAACCCAGATATCTGTATAAAGTGGACCTGTCACCAACTGGGTATGTCAACCAAATTGCTGACAGTAGTGAAGATAAAAACTGAAGGAATAAGAGAAACACTCAATGAAATAGTAAGTAAATAGACTCATACACACATGGCCTGCACATACAATGTACATAGACTCATACACACATGACCTGCACATACAATGTACATAGACTCATACACACATGACCTGCACATACAATGTACATAGACTCATACACACATGATCTGCAAGTAGATTAGGGCCTGCAGTAACTCTGACGTGTAAACACACTCACGCTCACTCACGGAGGTTTGCAGCTGACGCTAAGGCATGTTGAATTCTCTAAACCCGGTTCTCATGCCCCGGAGTTGGCACTTAAGGTCTTGTTCCCACCATAGCACATGCGTTTAACCCATCGCTTTCCACCGCCGGGCGCCCTTGCAATGTATTGTGCTGCAGAGTGTTTTTAATATGCACCGCAGAGCTGCTTCAACTTCCCTCCTTCCAGCGCATGCTGCGACGCAATTGGAAACGCTGCGATTAAATGCGACCTGTCCTGTTTGGTACTTTGCCTGACTTTGCGTTGTGACCACGTTGAGCTCTGCAGCCCAGCGCTAGTGAATGAGCCCTCAGGACATGTTCACACCAAATGCAGACCGGATCTGCAGGAGCTTCTGCACACGCAGTGCACTGTTTTTTGCCGGGCCATTTTTTGTGTGTGCCTAAAATGGGCTTTCAGTGCGTTCCAGGGAGTTTTGCATGCGTTTTAGTGCGTTCCAGAGCAGAAAAAAATAGGGCGTGCTGCAGTTTTTCCACATGCTCTGGAACTGGTGTGAACTAGAACCCAAAATACCATTTGGAATACATCGGACGCAGTTTTGATCCGTTCTGTAACTGCTCTGCATCTGCTCCGCGCTTGGTGTGAACGAGCCCCCTCAGCGTTCAGAAACGGAGACGTTTCCCAAAACATCCGAGGTCCCCATTTCCCGATGCTCTCCCTTGACGTTTGGTGATTGTACGCGGTCGGCGAGATCCCCTCTCGCGCCGTAGCAGCCATTCGATTTGGTTTCTGCCAGCGGTGGGTACAGTCCACCTTTCAGGTACTTGTTGCGCGGGGGCTCGCGTTTTCTTTCGGGCGCTGTGACGGTCGGCTGTGCACGACTCCGCCGCATATCATTTTTTTTCCCCCTGACATTTCTCTGTGAAAGGAGAACAAGCGTTTCCTCTCTAATCCCCACAAAGGATCCTGTATTCCGTCCTCGCCGCGCAGAATTCCAACAAACACTCCACACATCTCCGACCGGCCAAGTTCAACTTTCCGGAGAAGTTTTCCCCGCAGACACGTTATTTACTGGGTGCCGTCACGGCAGAGTTTCTGGAGGCCGCCATTTTTTTTCTCTCGACTGTGGCAGGACGATTGGGTGGAGGGACGCTTTAAAGTGTATCTAAAACCAGATGTTTTTTGCTTAGTTTTGGATGGAGTTGGGAAGGGGCGGAACTGCAGTTCATCACCAGCCATGTGGTTAGCGCTTCTGCCTTGCAGCACTGGGGGTCCATGGTTTGAATCCCGGTCAGGACACCGTTTGCCTGGAGTTTGCATGTTCTCACTGTGCTGGTGTGGGTCTCCTCAGGGTACTCCTGTTTCCTCCCACATGCCAAAGACATGCCGGAAGGTTGATTGTCTCCGGTCTAAATTGTTCCTGTATGTATGTGAGATAGGGACCTTAGATTGTAAGCTCCTTGGGGCAGGGACTGGTGTGAATGACCAATATATGTAGCCCTATATAAATGCCTGTAAGAACTAAAATGTGACTTCATGTATTAAAGGAGAAGTATGGGGTCAGTGTTTTCCCCATAGTTCTCCTTAGGGTCACGGGAGGACACAAACTAGCGTCCTCCCGTCACCCTAGGCTCAGTATATAGGGAGCTACAGCTCGCGGTATACTGAGACGCCGCAGCCGGGACGGCCCCCGACATTACTGTCTGGATCCGCCCAGCTGCGTGAGTGACAGCTGGCTCTGCCTATCCAGAGGCAGAGCCAGCTGTACCCGCCCCCTCCCCCGTCCGTTCCGCCTGGCCGCCATTTTTTTTCTCTCGACTGTGGCAGGACGATTGGGTGGAGGGACGCTTTAAAGTGTATCTAAAACCAGATGTTTTTTGCTTAGTTTTGGATGGAGTTGGGAAGGGGCGGAACTGCAGTTCATCACCAGCCATGTGGTTAGCGCTTCTGCCTTGCAGCACTGGGGGTCCATGGTTTGAATCCCGGTCAGGACACCGTTTGCCTGGAGTTTGCATGTTCTCACTGTGCTGGTGTGGGTCTCCTCAGGGTACTCCTGTTTCCTCCCACATGCCAAAGACATGCCGGAAGGTTGATTGTCTCCGGTCTAAATTGTTCCTGTATGTATGTGAGATAGGGACCTTAGATTGTAAGCTCCTTGGGGCAGGGACTGGTGTGAATGACCAATATATGTAGCCCTATATAAATGCCTGTAAGAACTAAAATGTGACTTCATGTATTAAAGGAGAAGTATGGGGTCAGTGTTTTCCCCATAGTTCTCCTTAGGGTCACGGGAGGACACAAACTAGCGTCCTCCCGTCACCCTAGGCTCAGTATATAGGGAGCTACAGCTCGCGGTATACTGAGACGCCGCAGCCGGGACGGCCCCCGACATTACTGTCTGGATCCGCCCAGCTGCGTGAGTGACAGCTGGCTCTGCCTATCCAGAGGCAGAGCCAGCTGTACCCGCCCCCTCCCCCGTCCGTTCCGCCAGTCAGCGCTGGATGATTGGACAGGGGAGGGGGGAATCCAGTTACTCCCCTGTCACGGCTGTCTGCAGGGATAGATCGAGAAGTGAGCGAGCGCCGTTATGTGTTCGCTCACTTTCCGATCTACTGAGCCGACCTGTGACAGTCTCATTGTCACAGGTCAGCTCAGATTAAAGTTCATAGTTCTCCTTTAACTTGGATGGAGCAAAGACGAGTCGGAAGCTCTCTCAGGTTTTTATTGTTCAAGATGTAAAAAACACAACAGGGACGCCAGACCACATGGTGAAAGCAGCTTTAACGATTCATCATATGATCACCTAGAACACCAAACGCGTTTCGAGGGCTCAAAACACCCCCCGCCCCTTCATCAGGGCTACAAAATAAATACAAAGAAAAAATAAAATATATATATAATGTATAAATGTATACTGCTTAAATATATTGTATATAAATATGTGTATGTAAAAAGGCAAGAGGCAAAAACAGTCAGAATGCCTGCGGGTGACGCCCCCCATAGTCTCCGTCGTTGGGCTCTTCTGAAATATTATATAATGTTTTGTATTCGCAGCTGTCGATGAGTGCGCGCTGGGATTGGACAATTGCCACATCGACGCCATATGCCAAGACACACCCACTTCATATAAGTGTATATGCAAAGCCGCATTTAAAGGGGATGGCACAACATGTGAAGGTGAGGCGTGTTTAAGGTTTCCTGACATGCTCATTGAGACAACAGCATGCATGTGAACGAATAGGCTGCATTCTCAGTGATGTCACCGGTCTCTGGTGAAGGGATAGGCTGCACTCTCAGTGATGTCACCGGTCTCTAGTGAAGGGATAGGCTGCACTCTCAGTGATGTCACCGGTCTCCAGTGAAGGGATAGGCTGCGCTCTCAGTGATGTCACCGGTCTCCAGTGAAGGGATAGGCTGCGCTCTCAGTGATGTCATTGGTCTCTAGTGAAGGGATAGGCTGCACTCTCAGTGATGTCACCGGTCTCTAGTGAAGGGATAGGCTGCACTCTCAGTGATGTCACCGGTCTCTAGTGAATGGATAGGCTGCGCTCTCAGTGATGTCACCGCTCTCTAGTGATTGGATAGGCTGCATTCTCAGTGATGTCACCGCTCTCTAGTGATTGGATAGGCTGCATTCCCAGTGATGTCACCGCTCTCTAGTGATTGGATAGGCTGCATTCCCAGTGATGTCACCGCTCTCTAGTGATTGGATAGGCTGCATTCCCAGTGATGTCACCGCTCTCTAGTGATTGGATAGGCTGCATTTTAAGCTTTGGAATGTTCTCTTTATATTTTCTTATTCCAGTTACGATGATCTTCAGTCTAATTAAAAAGCCAGATGCTGATTTTAAAACCGTGACATTTTTGTATTGTAATTGTATAAACTAATTACTGTAACATTATAAAAGTTTGAGTGTGTAGGAGAAGCGCAATATATGAATCAGTCATTGCAGGATTAACCCTTTGTGGTGACTCAGGGACCGGCTCATTAATCAGTGTCTGGCCCCCTGACAGAAGCCACTCTGCAGACACTTCAGAATGGAGTGCAACAAAAACAGGACATTTGCAAGACAATGAGTGGGATCGGAGGGGGACGAGTGTTTTCTCTGGTGTCAGTGAGCTGTGAAGGCCGCCATAAATCCATCACACTAACTGCTGCTGCCTTTATCCCGCAGACATTGATGAATGTGATAATGAGTACAATGGTGACTGTGTTCACGAGTGCACCAACATCCCCGGGAACTACCGATGTACGTGCTACGACGGCTTCCAGCTGGCCAATGACGGACATAACTGTGGCGGTAAGTTGGGGTTTTTGATTTTTTTTTTTTATTGTTTTGACTTATGAACAGAAAGATACATTGTATCAGATGGATAGTTCCCTCGAGTGAGACATGTTCTATTTGTTACAAGTTATTCGCTCGGTCTTCTCTCATGCTGCACCTTTACTTTCTTACCCTCTCCACCCTCTGCCACAATGTCCACCAATACTGAGCTCTTCCAGGACTCCCTAAAATACCTCTTAAGCTGAATTACACACAAGCTTTGCATATCACTCAGAGGTTCCAGCAGTAAGATTTCCCCCAGTAGTTTGTGTCTCTGCCCCTCCCACAATGGTGAGATTTCCTCCAGTAGTTTGTGTCTCTGCTCCTCCCACAATGGTGAGATTTGCTCCAGTAGTTTGTGTCTCTGCCCCTCCCACAATGGGAGATTATCGTACGATAATCGTGCAGTGTATGGGCACCTCCCACAATGGTGAGATTTCCCCCAGTAGTTTGTGTCTCTGCCCCTCCCACAATGGTGAGATTTCCTCCAGTAGTTTGTGTCTCTGCTCCTCCCACAATGGTGAGATTTGCTCCAGTAGTTTGTGTCTCTGCCCCTCCCACAATGGGAGATTATCGTACGATAATCTTGCGGTGTATGGGCACCTCCCACAATGGTGAGATTTCCCCCAGTAGTTTGTGTCTCTGCCCCTCCCACAATGGTGAGATTTCCTCCAGTAGTTTGTGTCTCTGCCCCTCCCACAATGGTGAGATTTCCTCCAGTAGTTTGTGTCTCTGCACCTCCCACAATGGTGAGATTTCCCCCAGTAGTTTGTGTCTCTGCCCCTCCCACAATGGTGAGATTTCCCCCAGTAGTTTGTGTCTCTGCCCCTCCCCCAATGGTGAGATTTCCCCCCAGTAGTTTGTGTCTCTGCTCCTCCCACAATGGTGAGATTTGCTCCAGTAGTTTGTGTCTCGGCCCCTCCCACAATGGTGAGATTTCCCCCCAGTAGTTTGTGTCTCTGCCCCTCCCACAATGGTGAGATTTCCTTGCAGTACCTTTCGGGTGAGGTTACCCAATCAGTTGGCTTTGTAATGGCCTCAGTAGGTAGGTGGACCTGGACGTTCTGGTGGGAAGTTCTGGGGGGAGATCTGGTGGCAAATTCTAGTGGGGAGATCTGTTAGGAAGTTCTGGTGGGAAGTTCTGATAGCAAGGTCTGGTGGGGGGATCTGGTGGGAAGTTCTGGTGGGGAGATCTGGTGGGAAGTTCTGGTGGGAAGTTCTGGTGGGAAGTCCTGGTGGGGGCATCTGGTGGGAAGTCCTGGTGGGGGCATCTGGTGGGAAGTCCTGGTGGGGGCATCTGGTGGGAAGTCCTGGTGGGGGGATCTGGTGGGAAGTCCTGGTGGGGGGATCTGGTGGGAAGTCCTGGTGGGGGGATCTGGTGGGAAGTTCTGGTGGGGGGATCTGGTGGGAAGTTCTGGTGTGGGGATCTGGTGGGAAGTTCTGGTGGGAAGTCCTGGTGTGGGGATCTGGTGGGAAGTTCTGGTGGGAAGTCCTGGTGTGGGGATCTGGTGGGAAGTTCTGGTGGGGGGATCTGGTGGGAAGTCCTGGTGGGGGCATCTGGTGGGAAGTTCTGGTGGGAAGTCCTGGTGTGGGGATCTGGTGGGAAGTTCTGGTGGGGGGATCTGGTGGGAAGTCCTGGTGGGGGCATCTGGTGGGAAGTTCTGGTGGGAAGTCCTGGTGTGGGGATCTGGTGGGAAGTTCTGGTGGGGGGATCTGGTGGGAAGTTCTGGTGGGAGATCTCATTTCTCAGGTTCCTGAGGGATATAATTATGAGATTCATCTTGGCAGAAACCTCTCAGAACTGAACGATTTGGTTAGATTTGGCTTTTGAGGTCTGTGAGGACAAATGGCAGTCAGGAGTTGAGCGGCGATCCTCAGTGCAGGGACACTATAAAGTTTGATGAGGTCAGTCCTCTTTGAAGATGCAAATCAATGGCTTTTATGAGGGTGAGTTGTTGTCACACATTGTCACCCGGCCATTCAGAGGAGACACAGCCGGGCTATTTACTCTGCTAAATGAGGAGGTTAATAAGTGTGACTGCAGAGCAATAAAGCACTAGAGACCCTCTATAGAGGGGGAAGCCAACCCCTTCCGACTGGTATATGCCTCTCTGGGGGCAGTTAACCCCCGTGCTACTGGTCTATGCCTCTGGGACAGTTAACCCCTTTGCTACTGGTACATAGTACTTGACCATTTAACACCAGTACACAGAACTGTATTACATTCCATCTTCTTCTATATGCGTTGTTAACCCTTCCCTGTTAGAATGTATTATTACATCATGGAGTAATGTAACCCTTTCAATGCCTGTACATTTCTTATAGGGATGATACCCTCCCTTCCCCCACATGCTTATTCCCTTTACACTGTATTAGGAGGCATACATAACCTTTTATTTGCCATTATATATCATTTACACAGATACATTGTATTAGAAGGAGCAATTACAATTTCAGCGGCTGATGTATTGCACAGTGTGGAGTAATGGACCCATTCATACTGTAATTTAACCCTTTCTTGGCAACACATTGCCTTAAATGCGTAACCCACCCGAGCCCTGCGGATACGTTGTCATTTTAGCGCTATATAGAACTCATCGTATTTTGCTGTATTCTGGTGGCCTAATAACCCTTTTCCTTGCCAGCGTTGTGCGTTAGAAGAGACTTTTGCTCCGTCGCTGTCAGTGCAGAACACGTGTAGTTAACTCCTTCACTGCCGTTACATCGTTTTTAGGAAGGCTAATTAATCACCGACAGCGACGGAGCAAAAGTCTCTTCTAACGCACAACGCTGGCAAGGAAAAGGGTTATTAGGCCACCAGAATACAGCAAAATACGATGAGTTCTATATAGCGCTAAAATGACAACGTATCCGCAGGGCTCGGGTGGGTTACGCATTTAAGGCAATGTGTTGCCAAGAAAGGGTTAAATTACAGTATGAATGGGTCCATTACTCCACACTGTGCAATACATCAGCCGCTGAAATTGTAATTGCTCCTTCTAATACAATGTATCTGTGTAAATGATATATAATGGCAAATAAAAGGTTATGTATGCCTCCTAATACAGTGTAAAGGGAATAAGCATGTGGGGGAAGGGAGGGTATCATCCCTATAATAAATGTACAGGCATTGAAAGGGTTACATTACTCCATCACTGCTTACATGGTGTTAAAAGGGGGACTGATCACTCAGGGAATATATAGTGGCATTAAAGGGAAATACTTCACCCTTTAAGGTGGCCATACACTCTACAACCATCGCAAGACTTTAGTCTTGCGATGGTTGTAAAGGGATTAAAAAAACGTACGATCTGCCTATCTTGGACAGGCAGATCGCACTCTCGATCATCGCAAGCCCGCCCTCCTGAGGGGCGGGCTTCCGATGACCGCAATGCTGAACGGGCAGTGTGCGCGTGCGCACACCGGCCCGTTCAGCATTTATCTTCCGAGCACCGTTCTAACCAGCCGAGAATCGTACGATTCCCGGCTGGTTTTCGAACATGCTGGTTCGACAGAAGACGTGCGACCGTACAGTAGAAACGGTCGCACGTCTCCGTTCACACTGCTCGATTATCGTACGAAAGCCCGATCGCATACGATTATCGTACGATAATCGTGCAGTGTATGGGCACCTTTAGATTGTCTTTTATTAAAGGGATCATTAACCCCATCCTGGCAGGCAACTTATATATCTGGAGAATGAGCTTTATTGCTAGTGTGTACATTGTGTTATAGGCAAGGAATTGACAATGCATTGTGTTGTAAAGAGTAATTAACCCCTTCACTTTCCGGTACTTTGTAGTTTTAGGGGCAATTACTCCTTTACTGCTTACACATTGTGTTACAGGGTGCAATTAACCCTTTCATTGTCAGCACTATATTATGGGGTCTTTTACTGTACATGAGCTAAAATATCAGTCAATAAACCTCGTCCAATGCAGGACTTATCATTACCAAAGCTTGTGGACTGGAAAAACTGAGCCATTCCCATACGTCTCTGTACAGAGGAGCTTACACTCTAATGTCCCCCCACAGTCACATCAGTCTCTGTATAGAGGAGCTTACACTCTAATGTCCCCCCCACAGTCACATCAGTCTCTGTACAGAGGAGCTTACACTCTAATGTCCCCTCCCCCACAGTCACATCAGTCTCTGTACAGAGGAGCTTACACTCTAATGTCCCCTCCCCCACAGTCACATCAGTCTCTGTACAGGAGGAGCTTACACTCTAATGGTCCATCTCTCTTTTCTTTTCTAGATGTAAACGAGTGCCTGTCCAACAATGGGGGGTGTCAGCAGACGTGTGTGAACACTTTGGGAAGCTACGAATGCCGCTGCAAAGATGGCTTCTTCCTCAGCGACAACCAGCACACGTGTATTCATCGCTCTGAAGGTGAGAGGGGAAGGGCACCGCACAAGTAAACGTCTAGATGCTAAACCTGGGAGGGCAATACTTTTTTCTCCAAAAAATTGTTTGCAGGCTTTTATTGCTGTGTGCCTCCATTGGCGAGATTCACCTTTCCAATTTGTTCTGGTGACTATTGTCTCTGGGACTGAGAGTGAGGAAAGATCCTACATTTTTACTTGCCATCAGACCAGGAATAGAGGGGACACCTCTTCCGGTGACAACGTTCTAGGAGTGGATTTTCCTGACTTTGGTGAGATTTCCTCTCACTTCCTGTAGTTTCCACGAGACAGGAAGTGAGAAATCTCCTCCAAAAGTGCTTTTAATCCTTCTCTACATCATACAAAATGACGAGAGTACATTTCGGCTCTCAGCTGCAGTTTGAGTTTTGCTGAGATGAAGCCCTCCTGTTCCTTCCCCTCTTCTCCGGGACAAACTCCATTCCTGTGGCGTTAGAAATCTGACTTGCCTCTCGTCCTTTCTTTCGGATATTTGGTGCGGACATTTGTCTGGAAATGCATTGAGCCGTCTCCTTTCATTGTGCCGGTAAATAAGGTGTCGTTGAATGCGTTCCCTCATCCATTCGCCTTTCACCAATCGCTTGTTTTATGCGTGTTCAGTGAACTTTATTGCGCTACCTGCTAGAGAGAGGGGGCCCCCTTCCCCGCAAGCTTGAGTGCGTCCAAAGAAATCTAAATTCACGCACACCTTCTCTTTTCATGCCGCACCGCCGTTCTTTTAGGCTCGTTAAGTGATTAGGCCCCTCCGCCGCACCACAACAGAGGCCCCCGAGCTGACAAAGCCGTGTTGTTTTTAGGGCACGCTCACATTTGTGAAGACTCCCCCTTGTGTTTTTTATTTTAAGATTCCAGAAACATTAACATCTGTTCTCCACTAAAATGACATCAGATGTCGGCGGCATAACCAAAATATCGCCGCGTTAACCAATCAGAGGAGGGAAAGACATGGATGGCCAACACATTACATATACAGTGCGTTGGTTGGGTCCGCTGTCTTATAGGCTAGGGCAGGGGTAGCCAAACTCCGGCCCTCTAGCTGTGGTGGAACTACAAATCCCACGTGGCATTGCAAGATTCTCACAGACATGACTCCCGGAGAGAGATGCATCATGGGACTTGTAGTTTCACCACAGCTGGAGGGCCGGAGTTTGGCTACCCCTGGGCTGGGGGAAGGGCAATGTACGGTAAGGACAGTGAGTGACCCCCAAGTGTATTTAAAGGCACAAAACGTTCCGGGTTAAAACCCTACGTTGTGTTCATAGTCGCGTTTTACTATCTTTTTTTTGGTCGACTTGCAGTTTTGTAATATCTGTTTGCATCATCTGGACCCCCATCGACCACCAATCTGCAAATAGCGAACATCATGTAAAAAGAGATGACTTACCCATCAGTCAAGTGTGAAAGAGTATCTAAACACAAGAATAAAATACATTGCAGATTACCAGTCTACAGATGAGGTGGCTGTATTAGTTTTCCTTTTTCCCCCTTTATTTTCTCCTGGTGATCCTGCCAGTAACAGACCTCCTGTCCTAGGGTGACAACGCTCACTGACTGTACCCTATGTGTGGGAGGAGAAGCGTGGTGTCTCTAGGAAAGGACTATTTAGCACTCCCGTCTGATCTCTATGAGGAAGTGAGAGATGTTCCATAGTCCACAGAGTATGCTGCCAGACACTTCCGACATATCCACCTTACCAACCACTCAGTGTCTGCCTCCCCTCTCTGCCAATCTCTCCGCTGGCTTCTGATCATGCAAGGAATAGAATTCAAAATATTACCCATTTACAAAGCCATTCACAACTCTCCCTGAGCTACATCACTAACCTTGTCTCTAAATATCACCCAAACCATCCTCACCCGTCTTCACCCCTCTTCCCAAGACATCCTGCTCTCTAGCCTCCTCATCGATCACCTCCCATGCAGAGGCGTCCCGAGGCTGGGTGACACCCGGAGCGGTAACTGAGTGTCACCCCGCCGGGACGTCATCGCGCACGTGCAGCAGTATTCTGATACCTGCCGGCGGCCATCTTGGTGATGGATGCCGGCAGAGAGAGGAGGGGACAGTCACCCGGCGGGATAAGGTATGCTGCCGGGTCCCCTCCTCTCTCTTCTAATACTGTCGGGCGTTCGGTCCATGAGCGAGCGCCCGACTTTTCAGAGGGGGGTGACACCAAAATGACTGTCAGTCATTTTGGTGTCACCCCTCCAATGGTGAAAAGAAATAGACACCGGCACTCCAATAGTAAATCGATTACGTCTATTTTATTGACGTACATCAAAAGCAAAATAACACACTTAGTGCGACGTTTCGGGGACACACAGGAACCCCTTCATCAGTCAAAACAAGGGGTACCCCTCCAATGGTGTCACCCGGGTGCGGGCCGCACCCCCCGCACCCCTCTTGTGCACGCCACTGCTCCCATGCTACTCATTCTCTGGAACTCTCTACCCCAACCTATCCAGATATCTCCTACTCATCACTTCAGGGAAGTCCCACAACTCTTCTCCCCACAGCTATCACCTTTTGTATCATTTGTCCCTCCCTTTAGATTGTATGCTCTCAGGATCAGGGCCGTCCTAACCATCTTTCATTGGATTGTATTTGTACTGTCTCCGTTTATGTTGTCACGTGCTGTGCAAACTGTTGGCGCTATATAAATCCTGTATTATAATAATAATAATGGAAACAATGTAACCATCACCATAGAATATACTCTGTTACTGCCACTATCAGACACCCCGCAATGACATAACTTTTACAGAGCTACTTCGGATGATGTATTTACAGCACAATAACAGAGGCTTGGTTGCTTTGTCCAGCTTGTTACGCAGCCTTTGTGACATCTATGTCCAGCATTTACTGCCAAGTTACTACAGCTTTGACTGCCTGATGCAGTGATTACTATACAGCGGTTGTGGTTTTGTCTGCTCCCTGCCGCATTACTAATATGGAACCAAGATTACCGACCATCGCATAGTTACATAGTATTTGAGGTTGAATAAAGACACCGCTCCATCAAGTTCAACCTGTCGCTTGTATGTATGTGATTCTGCATGTGTACGCGTGTGTATGAGTTCATGTGTGATCTTTTTTTTTAACTACCTTCCGTCCATGGCCGTTTGTGAACGGCCGGACGGACGTCTGCTAGGAGCGGGAGGGCGTCTTAAGACATCCTGCCCCTCCCCCCTCTCGTGTGCGGCACTCAGCGCGCACACGAGAGGGAAAACTGTGAGCATGTAAACTGCCAGCGATGGCTGTTTACATACAAGCGATCAGGCGTCTCTAGAGACGCCCGATCGCTTGCAGGAGCTGCGGGTGTGCGGCCTCCCCACCCCC